GTGGGGCGCGGCGGGGTCGAATGGGTCTCAACTAACCGCCGCCCCGCCCCGCGCTTATAGCCCGGCCTAGCCCATGCGCTGCTAGGCCACTGCCGGGCGGATGTGGTGGCGATGGAGGCGTCAAAAAGCGGCACCTGCTGACACCCTGACAGCTGTGCTGACAACAGAGAGACTGACACAGGTGACATCTGCTGATACCGGCTGACACTGCTGACAGCTGTGCTGACGGCGCGGCAGCGGCAGCAGCCGGCGGGGCGCCACTGGGAGCGCGCCATCATCAGCCCGTGATCGACGATGTGTGTGGGAACGAGGTGGGGCCCGCGCGGCTGTGGGGTGGACCCCGCGGGGCTCAGGCCTGCTGGGGCCCACCAGGCAAATTAGCCGGCCGTTCAGGCGCCAGCGGGATCTACGACCGCCCGGGGCTCAGTGGGTGTCGGCCATTCAACGCCAACGCGATGCTCACGACGCCTCTCTCTCTCCCTGCTGCAGGTTGACCCCGGGTGCGACTCCTAGCGGACTCGGCAGCACCTCGCCGCCATGGCCGCGCCGCCGCGCTACCCGCCGGCGCGGTCCGACCTCATCCTGGGCCTGTCGGACGACGAGGAGGAGGACGACGACGATGAGGAGGCCCTGGACGACAGCAGCGCGGGCGGCAGCGGGCGCGACGTGGGCGCCGAGGGCCTGTCGACCACGCCGTCGACGTCGTCCGAGTCGGGCGGCAGCAGCCTGGAGGCGCGCAGGACGCCGCCGCGGCCGCGGGTAGCCAAGCGCTCCCTGCGCGGCGAGCTGCTGGAGCGCTGGCCCGGGTGGACGTCCCCGGCCAGGAAGCGGCTGCGCGCGGCCTCGCCGGCCAGGACCGCGCCGGCCAGGGCTGCGCCGGACCGCCTAGCCGCCCCGTTCGGCTGGCCGCAGGCCTCTTCGTACCCGGCCACCTCGTCGTCGCCGGGCTCGACCCTGGCCGTGGGCGGCGCGGCCGCCGGCGCAGGGCTGCTGGTGCGCGAGTACGACCGCTTCTGGCAGCTGGTGGAGAAGATCGCGAGCTCACCCAGCCTGGTGCCGCTGGGCCCACTGGCCCGCGCGGCCGACTACGAGCGCGTGTGCTTCGTCCACGTCGACGATATCGCCCTGGCGCGGCGCGGGGCGCGCTCGTCCACGCCGACCAAGTGGCGGAGGCATCGGCGTAGCCCCCGGCGTGGCAGCCCCAGCTCGTCCAGCGAGGAGGAGTCCCCAGTAAGTCGTCCGTGTTGCTGGCTGTTTGAATTTGCCGCGTAAAGTATGGTTTTCTAACGACACGGACGTCCTGCTTGCAGTGTGAGTCCGAGGCAGCTGCGCTGCCGGCGCCCTTCCTCCCGGACGCTCCCCGCAGCCCACACACCGCGGCCCTCGCGCAGCCGGATGACGTCCTGGACGGGGTCCTCGACGAGGACCTGATCCTGCCGCCGCCCACGCCCTTCTCGTCGCCGGCCGCGTCCAAGCTCCCGCGGCACCCGCGGCCCGAGTCCCCGGCCGTGGCGGCTGGGAGGCCGCCCGAGGTGCGCCGCGCGCCCCTGGCTGACCTCCGCGCCGACGCCCCGGCGGCCCCGGTGGCCGTCTGCGAGGACGTCGTGATCCTGCCCGACGTGAGAGAGCAGCCGCCGCACGACGAGCTGCTGTGAGTAGAAAGTTTAACATCCCAAATTTTCCCGGTAAGTTTTTGAGGAAAAAATTGGTAAAAATTGAAACTTGTTCAGAAAATTTTGTAAATGAAAGGGTAGCTTGTTAGAAATAACATACACTTCAAAAGAAAATTCCCAAAAATACCTTTCTCGAAAAATTAAATCAGAAGAGCCCCCTCTTCGTCTCTACTACAACACCATGATGGTCTGTTTCGCCTTCCTTCAGTGAGCGCCTGCAGCTGCTGGCGGGCAGACCGCTGCCGGGCGCCGAGGACCTGGACAAGGTGGACGTCGAGGAGGACAGCTCCGTGCTGCAGCTGCTCGTCCTCACGCCCACCGACGAGCGGGCGGACGCCCCCAAGGACGGCGTCGTCGGGGCCGCGGGCCGCCCCCTGCTGTGGGGCGCCCTCAAGGGCCGCCGGGCCTGCGCCGGGTTGCTGCGCCTCCGCGTGCCCTACTTCTTCATCCTGGTCGGGATCGTGCAGGTGACGCTGTACCGGATGCCCTCGCCCCTCGAGGCGCAGGAGCTCAAGAACAGGTTCGTCTGGGACAGCGGCCGCATGTTCGCCGAGCCCTGGCGCACCCTGTCGTACGCCATGCTGCACTCGGGCCAGGTGAGCGACAACGAGAGTCCACAAAAGTATTAATGCTCGGGGGGTACTTTTTTCACGGCCGCGCCATGGTATTTCACACCCTACGTGGGATACAAAATACAATGGCGCGTGCGCGGGAAAAAAAGGTACTTGACGTGACAGTACACATCAGAAAAAAATTAAGGAAAAATCAATTTTAAAATTATCAAAACAAAAAAAATCAGAAAAAAATCAGAAAAAAATTAAGAAAAAATCTGAAAAATCTGTGCACGCTTGAATTTATCGTGAAGTATCCCTCGGGTGACGCCGCCCCGCCTTGACCCACAGATGCACGTGTCGCTGAACGTGGCCGTGCAGACCATCGTGGGCACACCGCTGGAGCGCGAGCAGGGCGCGCTGCGCGTGGCGGGCGTGTACTTCGGCGGCGCGGTGTACGGCGCCCTCGTCACGGGGGTCGTGTCGCCCGCGCTGCTCATGGTGGGCGCCTCGGCCGGCATCTACTCCATCCTCATGTCGCACCTGGCGCAGATCTGGCTGGTGAGCATCAGTGTCATACCCACATACCCTCCAATAAATTCCAAATAATAATTTCGAAAAAATCAGAAAAATTTAGAAAAGTCAGAACATTCACAAAAATTGAAAAAAATCAAGATTTCTTAAAAACTTTCTGTGGAAACGGTGTACTCAGGTGTACGATTGAATTAATTTTCTTAGCAGTTTTTTTTTTTTTGTGATTGCTGATTTGGTTTTGAGTAGGCGCGTAGGCGTGCGGCAGAGGGGCGTGCGTCCAGGGTGGAATAGACCAGAAAAAATAATAATAGCAGCAACAACAGATAAGATGGATCCAGCATTTGGTTTAATTTATTTGAAAAACGTCTTAAAATGTCCCTCCTCCAAAATGACTGATCAATCACTCATCGTCAATCAATTTCGCAATTTTTTGGTGGCCATGCTTAATCGCAAGCATCTCGGCGGTGTATCCGGAGTGATCCTTTAAGTTCTTATCACTCCTCACCCCTTCTGCTAGTAGCAGCTTCACTATCTCGGTGTGCCCGTACATTGCAGCGACGTGCAGCGGTGTCCTTCCAAACTCGTCCCTGGCAACGAGGTCTCGTCGAAACGCGTCTTCCAGCAAATCGCGCACTATTTTCACGCGCCCATTCTCTGCGGCAACGTGGAGACGGGTTGTTTTTGCTGCCATGGCTGCTCTGAAACATGAGTATGAAACTACAGTGTTCTTGTCACAAACAGAACTGTTGCTCAACTAGTACTTTTTCATGCGGAGGGAAAGGGGGGCAAGGCAACGAGGGGGGGGGGGGCGGGAGGATTTGACGATGGGTCACTATTATTGCTCTTCATATCCACTGTAGTGGACCCGCTCGGGCTTGCAGGCTCATGCGTGTCCTCGAGTCCGCCCTTGACAACACAATGAAATGGCGTCTTCGGGCGTCTTTCTTCCCAACTACTAGGGATTTTAAAGTACGAATATTTTCCGGAAAATTTGAAAACTTTCCACGAAAGAAAATTGGGAAAAATTAAAATAGTACAAGAAAGAAATTACGGGAGGACGGCGCCTGTGATATTCGGGGTAGGCCAACCCGCAGTGCACGCATGCACTGCAGGGAAGATGTTGCCTACCTCCTGGGCGCTACAAGACCTCGCATCGGCAGAACTTGGTACTTTCGTAAAGGGCCAAAACAAACTTTCTTGAAGGACCCAAACAGGAAGGAATCGCAACGAAAATATAATTCCACCCTGGGCAGATGTTTGATTGGGAGTTGAGGAAGGGGGGGGGGGGCTTGGACTTACCACCTTGTTCTTGGCCTTGTTGCACCCTTCCTCTTTCCAAGTGCAACTCGTGTGAGCGCAGCGACAGGACTGCTGCAGTCCCCGACTTCACCTAGGATCTATATCTGTACGACCAGCCTGGGCAGTCTTATACCTACAGCCCCTACAACTTTAGTTCTGTATATCTTATCATGCGAATTTCCTCAACGGCTGAAAGAATTATAAAAAAAAGTGTTGAGGGACAGCGATCACCCACGTCATTGGACGTGCACTCTGCCGCCACAGACGACTCTTTCCTGTTGATAATAATTGTACGCTGAGCAAATATGACGCTTGCACACGGTGGGCCGAAGTCCTTTCGGCGGCGAAATCCACGCAGAGATAGCAAGTTGGTCACAAAAACTGTTAAAAATATTTTTCAGATTTAACACAAAAAAAAAAACATTTTGAAAGACTAAAACTAACTTTTTATAGGTGGTTTTTTTTTTTTTTTTTTAAGACTCACTTGTCTTCCGGTTTTGAATGAAAATATTTCAAAAATTAAAACTTGTTTACAGTTTTTGATTTTTCTTTTTCAGAACGCGCACTCGGTGCGGTACGGCAAGACGCGCGCCGGCGCCGTGCTGCTGCTCACCGGCGCCGACATGGCCTACACGGCGCACCACGCCATCAAGCTGGGCAACGCGGCGCCGCGCATCGGGGTGACGGCGCACTGCGCGGGCGCGGTGAGCGGGCTGTTCCTGGGGCTGGCGCTGTACCGCACCACCGTGCCGGCCGCGGCGGCGGCGGCTCACCAGGCGCACCAGGCGCACCAGGCCCCGGGCCCCTGCACCTCGCCGCCGCTGTACCGCGCCGCGCACATCGGGTCGGCGCTGCTGCTCGGCGCCACCGCCCTCTTCTGCCTGGTGTGGGTGCACCTGGCGCAGCAGAGCGCCGCCGCCGCCGCGGCCGCCGCGCTCGAGGCGTAGCAGCGGCTCGCGTTCACGCCCCTGCCCCCCGGCCAGCACTGGTACACCGGCTGGTGAGCGGGCCCAAGAGTGTGTAAGTGTCGCGCACTTGTGCAAGCGTCAAATGTCCCTATCGCACCTGAGTGTAACCCCAAAGTGTGCGCGCGGAACGGAAGTTAAACGCACACAAGTGCGGGCGACATTACTCTTGGTTTTGCTCTGTGCAACGAGTCGGGACTAGAGATGGAAAATTACCAAATAGTTGGTAGAAATACATCTACATCTAAACTCCAAGGCATTTAAATAAAAAAAAATATTTTAATTTTTTGTGAGAAAACGATTTTCTTCTACTTATTTTTCGATGAAGAATTTCAGTTGTTCCATCTCTAGTCGTGACGACATTTCTTGGCCATAGCGGTGCTTTACTCCTTACTACTTACGTTTCAGGTGTCTGAAACTTTTTGTGCGACTGTGTGCTTTGTGGTTTTTGAAAACCGTGCCTCACTGACCGTTTGGCGCCTTACAAGGCAAGAGTAGGCAAGTCGCCCACACACGTGCGTGCGGTAAGGCTAAGTGCGCAATTGCACGTTTTCTTTTAATTTATTATTGTTTTAGATACCTGGTGGAACGATGAGGAAGTAAGTGAGGTTCCGTTATGACTAAGCATGTTGTCGTTGCCTAACGGGGAGGGGTTTGAACGCGCGTTTATGGAAGAGTCTTCCGAGACGAGGACAAAAGTGTTGTTGTGTCCACTTTTGTGGCAAAGTTTCTTCATCCTGAACTCTCTGTGTCTGTATTTCATGTCGCTTATATGAGGGGTTTTGTATAAATCTCTGTGTTCTTGTGTGTAAGACTGAAACATAACGAAGATATTTGTTAAATTATTATTTTGCTTGACCAAGACAGGTGGACTTGAGCTCAGAAATATATTCTAGTTTAATTCCCGTGTTCTCTCATGACAGGTGGCCTTACCCACCGTTTAGCTCTTCCATACGATCGATCTTCCTGGAAATAGTGAAGCAACTGTGTTATAATCCTAGTTAAACGAGGTGCCAACCCCATACTGCTGTCAATTTATCGCTCAAGTCATTAACGCACCAATATGTCTTATTTCGATTGTGATTTTTTTATAACCAATCTCATCTGAATGTTGGTCCAAAACCTTTAAAATGCTGTACACACGTCTTTAAAGCCTGATCCGGGATCCCCAAAACTTCGTTTCCCCGGGCATGTAAGGTTGAGTAAATGAGTCTAGTCACAGCATGTTGCCATGTGTAGAAAAGCACGTACAGTTCTTTTTTGTTACCATAATAATAAAACATACTCGTGTGTCAACACAATACCGTCTTTATTTGGCTGTTGCTTTCTCCAGTTCACCTCTTAAAAGTGCGTTTTCAGCTCTTCCGTACAACAAATTCCGGCAGGTTCACTTGTGTATCACTACAGGTGTTTGTGGGCACGCCACCACCGAAAAGTGCTCCACCGCACTACCTAAGGAAGGGCGTTACTCCCAGATGCCCCACGGGTCGTTTTAAGTGGATTTAATAATAGTATAGTAGTAGTAGTATAGTAGTATAGTGCCATTAGTCCCTCCCCTCCCGAGGCAGACAAGGTATCCCCGAAGGGTACTTTTACTATAAAGTCAAGTTTAATTTTAAACTGATTCTACCTCGTTTCTGATTTATTTATTTTTCTTTGGAGGGTGGGGCCCTGCACTGTTGGAGCGCCCGCCACGCGCCGGGTAGGCCGTCCCGTCGCGCAGCTGTGCGAGGTCGGCGGCCCGCCCAGGGGCGCCCGAGGGAGTCGAGCTCGAGTCGCTCCGATAGCGAGAAACGGTATTTAATTCCATTTCTTTGACGGTGTGGCGGCCTTTGCTCATAGTTCCCCGCGCTCGTCAGCCGACTCCTCGGCCGCGTCCTCGTCCTCCGGTGGCGAGGTCTGAGAAAACATGATCGTCAACAGCTTATGCAGCTCCCTCTCCCGCTCCTCTTTGTCCTCTATCTTCGTGGCCGCCTCCATGGCCTTTACCAACGCGTAGGCCTGCAGCGGGTCGCTGCGCTCGATGTAGGCGTCCAGCGAGGCCTCGAAGAGCTTCTGCATCCCCTCACTCCCTCCGGGGCCGAAGGAAATGAGGCTGGGGTCAAGCATCTGTTCCGGCCGGTCCCCTCTGAAACGGAAGGGTGAAACCAGATAGTGAAACAACTCTCTGTCGCAGGCGGGCACCCGATAACTATAGTCCCCGAGACTGTCTCGACCACAAGGAAAAGTGCTTTCCCATCCCCACCCCCACCACACCGCC